TAACAGCGATAATTTGATTCATTTTCAACAATTTGATTCAACGTATGGCTCAAAGACATTCAAGACTGAATGTCTTTGAGCCATACGTTGAAATTTATTTGACCCGTTAGCCAATTTCAATAACGTGAAGATTTTATTGAAATCATTGTTTGAAAAATTTTTTCATTTTGCGCTAGTACTACCTTAAAATTAATATTTTATTTTATAAAGTCATATTAATTATTGTTAATTGTAATAAATATTAGTAGAATTTGAAATAATTTATTATCAATAGATATGTAAAGAATAATTGTGTTATATTACCGTGTTTTTATTTACAGATTTCTTAGAAATGTTCTTTCCCAAAATCATTCTAATATTATTGTCATAAAATATTGAATGTCCCGCTGATGTGATATATACCGATTGACTTTGTAATTTAGTTACAAGTTCAATATGTTTATTAGTTTCTTCTTTATTTGGACATTCTAGTAGCCTATCTAGTTTTATTTTATACATTTCCTTTCCCGCCGCAATATCATAATAAAGTTCTAAAATATAAAATGAATATGAAAATATCTTATAGAAAATACAGCAAAAGACGATTTTTGCAAGAAAGATTTCTGATTTATGGATTGTTGTCAACATCTCCATAGCGGGGCTAGTGTGTTGTAACACTTTTTCTTTAAATTCTATAAATCTTTATACAATTATGATAGACTAATCATAAATGTTTTAAAATATTATATATTTATATTATATGTATTTATCTGGCTCAATAATACTTATAAATCCTTAATATCTCTCATAAATAAGAAAAAAATTACGTTAATTAGAATACAGAAAAAGAATACACAGTGAATCAATATACTTCATCTATGAGACATGTTGAGCATCTCCGAAGGATAAATTAAGCCATGAAGGAAGATAATCGTTTATGAGATTATATATTATTAAAAACATGAAAGGATTATGTATATATTAATCAAGTTTTTATTATTTTTATCTTAAGTATGATAATTGGTAATATATTTTTCTTTTTAAATGCATTAACAAAATTAAGAAAACAAAAATTTTTATTCTTTATAATAATAACGTAAAATATATGTTTAATCGTTAACATAAAATAAAATTGATAAAGATAGATTTTATTTAAGCAGCTGAATTTATAAGACAGTTATGAGATACTGGTCCAACAAGTTCTATATCGATGTTGACTGAAATATTTTTTTATAACTAAAAAAGTAAATAAAATATCAATTTGAATATTAAAGTTAAAAAATACGTTAATTTATATCTAAAAAACATTTAACATTTGATTGTTATTAATTGCTTTAATTACTACGTAGATTAAAAAAAAACACTCACTTAATAATTTTACTTTTGATGTACGAAAATGAAAAATGCACGTGTTTGATTATTAACAATCGAACATAAATTATTATCAATTTTGATTATCAAATTTTTGTAATAGCTATCTAAAATCAATTCAACCAAATGTTTTTGTTAATATAACCAATCATAATTTTATCCGTACGGATTTACTGTTTGGTGATATTAAATTTTTGTAAGGATAAAATTATGTTTCATTATATTAATCAAAACATTTGATTGAACCTATTTTAGATAGCTATTATCCAACTGTTTTTTCTGTACGATGCAACGCTTTATAAATAATGGCTACGTTCAACAGAGAAAATTTGACAGATGTCACTTTAACAACATGGCTACTATGATCTAACAAATTTCGAGCGTCCCTATTGAAAGACCCTATATATTACATGTGCTTCCAATATTTCTTGTTCACAATCTGTAAGTTGCTACAAATTTGTAAATTATTAAGTTTTTCTTGTAATCAGTTTTCTGTTAAGATCGTCTTTATTATTTAATAATTTCTAAAAATATTAGATATGGGAAAAAGTTCGTGGCGTTTTTTTAATGCCATTTAACGGGAAAAACGCCACGAACTTTTTCCCACACTTAAAAAAAATTTTTTTAATTTTAACTTAAAATTTTTTAGCCTCTGATCATGATTAAATTCTGATTCATCCTCATTGCCATTGTCTTGGTAGTAATGTTTGTATGTTTTTAAAAATTTAATGTTACCCATTCTCGCCGAACCGAAGAATTAGTTTACAATGAGTTTTATAACATGGATATCATTCAATGTAAATTTACGATAATTGCCTATTGACACCGTAGAGAATAATGACATCTGCGTTTATTTGTATGTGAAATGAGATCTTTAAATAATCTGATTTATACTATATTAAATTTATGTAATTTTTTCGAGTTGCTGAGAAGGGATAATAATAAATAAAATCTGAAATGTGCTGTATAGATCTCATAAGAATTAGAATAATAGAATAAATTAATTAATTTGTTTGCTTTGTATTTGATTTATTATTGCTTTGCAATCTTACGAGCGTGTAAGAATAATTTAATATTTTTAATACTTAACATAAAAATTCGTCTAATAAATCAAAACATGAACATACATTAATTTACAAAGCATATATTTCGGCTCCAAATCGAATTATCCTCGGCAGTGTAAATGATTAATATACAAATTTTTTACAATAAATTTTTCTTAAATGAAATAAATGCTTTCCCATTATATTTATAATACTATTTATTGAATAAAAAGTGCTAAAACGAGGTTTGTTAGAAATCGACATGATAAATGGAACGCATGCAATAAATTATTTAATAAAAAAATCATTTAATAATTCAATTGAACATATTTCGTTTCACAAATCGTAGATTTCGGAATAAAATTGAACCATTCTATAAATGATTAATATACAAATAATGTTAGATTCGCATTCTCTAAAAAAAAAGGATAGATTGGAATATAATATAACTGTAATTACAAAGACGAGGAAAGTATTATCTCAATTTGCTGAAACAGTTACATAACAATGGCTGTGTCTCTGATCCATCCGCTTAACACTATAAACAGATGTGCGTTGTGATGTCAATGAAATAAGAGGTTGAAAGTTAAAACACATTTTAATATACAGATACATATACATTGTTATCACTGTTCAGCGATCATGTCTTTAATACTGCACACTGAATAATAATGACGACATATTTCTGTATGTTAAAATGTGTTTTAATTTTTTATTCCATTGATGTTATAACGCACATATATTTGTGGTATTGAGAGGAAATATGTTTACATTTTAAATTAAAAGTCATACATTAACGAAATTTAAAAGAAATTTGGTGCCAAAGCAATTTATTTGCAGATAAATCTTTTACAGCAATTATTG